CAGGTTCATGATACAGAATTGTCTTTAAAAGATCAGATGCCATGACTCATGCATGTAATCCCAGCACTTTGCAAGGCCGAGGTGGTTGGACCATGAGGTCAAGAGATTGAGACCATCTTGGCCAACATGTTGAAAGCCTGTCTCTACTAAAAATACAAAAATTAGCTGGGCATGGTGGTGTGCGCCTGTAGTCCCAGCTACTCGGGAGGCCGAGGCAGGAGAATCACTTGAACCTGGGGGGTGGAGGCTGCAGTGAGCCAAGATCATGCCACCGTACCAGCATGATGGTGAGTGCACCTTGAAACTACCACCGTACCAACGGTATGGGTGCCACCAGCCTGAGTGGCAGAGAGAGACTCTGTCTCAAAAAAATAAAAAAGAAAGAAAGAAAGAAAGAAAAAAGAAAAAAGAGATTAAGAGCTTCATTGTAGTTTGCAGTTGCATTAGATGTGTTGCCGTCTCTCCATGGTGCAATGTGGCTGGGTGTCTCCCATGGACTGACCCCCAAGAACAATTCACCTATATGACTCTTCTGGCAGCTTACAGGGAATCCAGCAATACTTTCCAGAGGGCCCTGGGCCAAAGGTGTCTACTTGAGTGTGAGACAGACAACTTCCCACCCTTCATGTACCTTCTGGAGCAGGACAGGGAACTCTCACTGGGCACCCTGCCCCAGGCAAAAGAGAAGGGAGCTAGTCTCAGAGGGTGTGGCCAATTCCCAGGCTCCTGGAGGACTTCAATTTTATTGCAGACGGAAACCACTTCTTCCTCATTTTCAGTCCAACCAACACACTTGGTGGCTAGAGAAACTTCACTTCCCGTTTCTATTTATATACATTTTAATATATATATATATATATATATATATACACACATACACACATATATATTTATTTACTTTACACGAGCTGTGTGTTTAAACAACCAGTTGCTGGATTTAAAGAGGAACATATCTGGGATTCACTCAGTTCTTTTAAGTGTCACTTAGTCCTGTGTAAGGACAGCTTTGCCCTATGGGTAACAGCAACATTTTAAAAGTTATAAAATTGTCCTTAGTTTTGCAATAGACTATTTAAAAAAATAAAATTCTCCCATTGAACAATGTACGCAAAAATTGTTATGGTTTTTTCTTCTCCCTGCACCAAGCCTTAAGGATCATTATTTTGCTGCTGTTAAAGTCCTGAAATATGGAGATAAGAGGTAAGTGAGCGTCCCCTGGTGGAGAAAGGGAGTCTTTTTCCAGAATCAGTGTTTTCCCTCGCCTGATGTCCTTTGGAAATCACTCAACACAAACCGCTGGTCATTTGGTACAAGCAAGCAAGCAAGCAAACAGAATCATCAGTATGCTTGTGCGGCTACACTCGATATTTGATGTACAGTAAAGGAACGAGGAAGGGGAAAGTGAAGAATAGAGAAAGGGATACTGGACCAGCCAGACGTGGTGGCACCATACTGCAGTTTTCCACATGAGAACGTCTGCTTGGTCTGTAGGAACAGAGTTCTAGGGTAAAGCAGCAGGTGTGTTCTCAGCAGACACTCCTGTCTGCTTCTGGAACACATCAACTGTATCTTTGTCCTCCATTTCCAGCTGTGCAAATATGTCTATTTCACTGATTGGCTCCCAGGAGAACCAATCAGTGAAAGTAGAATCTGATCAGCATCCTGGACAAACTCTGCCTTTCACCAAAGGCTTCCACTCATTCACTAAGTGGTGTGTGCCTCTTCACCATCAACTGCACCCCAAGACCATCCTACTCGCCTCCTTCAAATTCACAGGATTACTGCTCTTGGCCTTGTCTTAGGCTCTTTCTGTCATAGAGGAGGCTGAAGGCTCTTCTTCAGCTTCAGCTTCATGAAAGATGCCCAGAGTATGCCGCAAACTAGCAAGCCAGCAGCCCCTGATGTCTTAGGTGGAGGAGGCAGCAGAGTCTTCTTTGATGTTTTTATCACCATCTTTATAGCAAAAGCAGCAGCAGCAACTACAACTACTATTTTTAATTGTGGTAATAATAATGATCACACCTACAAAAATGATGAATAACAATAATTGTAATTGCTGGCCAGGCGTAGTGGCTCATGCCTGTAATCCCATCACTTTGGGAGGCTGAGGCAGGTGGATCATTTGAGGTCAGGATTTTGAGACCAGCCTGGCCAAGATGGTGAAACCCTGTCTCTACTAAAAATACAAAAATTAGCTGGGCATGGTGGTGCACGCCTGTAATCCCAGTTACTCGGGAGGCTAAGGCAGGAGAATTGCTTGACCTCAGGGGGTGGAGGTTGCAGTGAGCTGAGATCCCACCACTGCACTCCAGCTTGGGTAACAGAGTGAGACTTCATCTCAAAAAAAATTGTAATTGCTGATATATTCAGTTTATATATAGATTTATTATTTGTAATGTTCTATAATTTAGTAATATGCACGTTTATTGTTTCATAAATATCAGGACCCTAAAACACCCGACCTAATGAATGACTCCCACCTGTGGACTTATGACTGCCCACCTGCTAGTGCAGATCTTCTCACCACTCCATCCAGAGCTTCGATCTCTCTGGTCAACCTTCTGGGATGATGAAGGAGCTGAAGCACTCATATGATCTGATTGGGGTCTTGGCAAACAGCTTGACTTGTTGGAAATCAAAGGCTGACTTTAAGACATACTCAGATGTTGGGCTAAATTGAGGCAGGAGGAAATGTCTTCTCAGCAGATCTACCTTTGTGTCTCTTGTTTTCAGAGTAAAAGCCTGTTTCAGGAACAGTAGTTTGATTTGGTCTGTGTTAAAAATCATAAGCAGCCTACAAATACTGAACGGGGATGAAAGTAATTTGCACACATGTTCAATGCATTATATGTGCTTTCAAATCTCTCCTATGATAAGAAATGAAAAGTTATGCCTTGATTTTTTAAACTCAGTCGTCAGCCATTCTGCCAAAATATTCTATATGTTTCCAAGACATTTCAGAATCATTCTCTGGTGGAGATTATTCCCAACTGTGCTAGAAGGATGAGCATCTCAACAGAACCTTTATTCTACTTCAGAAGAGTCACTTTTTAGGATCTCACAGGCCTAGGGAAGCTGCTTGAATTGTCAGGTCTATGGAGGTGCCTGGGCTTTGGAGTCAGGCAAAGTTGATCCTGAGTCGCAGTCCAGCCACTTAGTAGCTGTGGCACTTTGGACGAGTTCCTTGACTTGGAACAGTTATATAAAGCTTGTTGTAAGAAAAGGCAGAATGATACAGATTGCCAAGATGACAGCAATTCTGCATCCCCTCTGGTATCCATGTCCTTTGGAATATGCTTTTACAGCTGCTCCAACAGAGAGGCAGAATCTATTTCCTGACACTTGGATCTGGACTGGCCTTATTTGTTCTAGGCAATAGGAAGCTATGAATATGGCAGTGTGACAGTTTGGGGTCTAGGGATGAAAGTCATTGAATGTTTCTGCTTTTTCTTTTACAACTTGCCATCTCCAAGAGAACAAGCACATGTCAGCCTGCTGGAGGATGAGCTCCATGGGGAGGAAAACCAAGGTGCCCCAGTTGACAGTCAGCTCACCCCCAGAGCAGAGTCACTTAGTCAACCAGCAGCTGACCACACATGCCTGAAGCAGCCCAGCCAAGACCAGAAGAATGGCCCAGTTGAGTCCAGCCTAAATGACTGAGCATCCCAATCATGAGCTAATAAGGTTTAGGGTGGTTTTTTATGCAGCAATAGCTAACTGAAACATACACCTGTGCAGTCAGGATCTCAGGATTCTAATAACAGGTTGGTTACTACTAGTTACCTGGCAAACAGGCACTGTATAGGTACTGATTTCCTTTTCCCTTTATTTAAAGCCGGGCCTCTTGTTAGATGGGATAAGTTATACAGAAGTGCATGTTGACATGCTTGGTGCTTAAACTCACAGTCCCCACACCACAGGAGGAAACAGCCAGCCATAGCCTAACCAGCAGGCAAATTGCTGGCTGCAAATTGAAACGCAAATTGCAAAATAAAAAGTTTGCCTTTATTCCCTCTGCATTCAAACTTTGGAGGTCAAGGGTGTGGACAGATCTGAAGGCGGGTTCCTCTTCCTGAAGCCCTACACTCTTTGTTCACTGTCTGGCCTTTAGAAGGGTGAGGGACCCCTGCCCAGCAGCAGGTGGGCAGCAGAGGTTGACCTATGGACACCTCCTGACTGCAGTCCCAATTCTGTCACTGGGCCCTCTCCCACCCTTGGGTGCAAGGAGAGAGGTGGGCTGGATGAGGGTGTTCCCTCACGTCTGGCAGGAAAGGAAGTCCAGGCCCTCGACCTCCCTGAGGTTAGACTCACCAGGGCCCTCAGAGCTGCTCTTAAATGCGGCAGCCACTGCCCACGTTGGGCTGCTGAGCTCTTTGGGTGCGGCTGGTTGGAACTGAGATGTGCTAGAGGTTTAAATACAGAGTGACTGTAGAAGATTTAGTACCCAAACACCTTCATTGATAATTTTATATTGCTCACATATTTAAGTGATAATATTTTTGATATATAGGGTTTAAGTATTACCATCAATTTCACCTGTTTTCCTTTCATGATGCCACTGTAAATGTCACATGCGGCTCACATTTTATTCCTGTGGGATATTTCTGACATAGAGGACTCCCTCCCTTATCAAATCTCATGGTGCCTCCTCAAGGGACCAGAGGCCATGAAGTTAATGAAAGCTGAAATTTTAAAAGAATCGTTATTATATAATTTCCAATTTTAAATATTAAAGACATACTCATAAACTGATGTAATCTTATGTGTAAGGTTAATGCCAATGTTCCTGGCAGCTCCAGGGCCCAGCATAGGAAGTCAGCCCAGGCTGAAAAGGGCTGCAGACAACAATCAGTCATTCACGCCTCCTTCCGCCACACCTGGGATAGCATCTGCTGTCACTCAGGGGGAGAGGGGGCGGGGCCTGGAGCCCTATCCAATCAGCGGCTCCGTGGTCGAGCCTGTCCAATCAGGAGCGCAGCCGGAAAAGGGGGAGCAGTTCCTGTGTTCTCGGCTGGATTTTCCCTTTGACAGGTGAGCTTCCGTGCTTGGTCTCGGCTGCTCTTTCTCCTGTGTTCCACAGCCTCCTTTGCCATACGACCTGCATGTACTCGAAGGTCCGTAGAGAGGATACCGGGGCGCTCCTGAAGCCGAGAGTTGGTGAGTCTGCTGGGCCGAGCTTCCCGAGACGCGGCAGGGGGCCCGTGGGAACCGGTGGGCACCCGGCCCTCCCTGGGGCAGCTCTGAAGTCTGGACCCGGACTCTTCTAGGTCCCATGGTGCGGCTGGGCCGGCACCTGGGACCCCGGGCGTTTCGTTCCGTCCCGTCCCGTCCCTGCGCAGAGGCCTCGGCCCTGCCTGGAGCCCGGGGCAGCCCCGCGCCCGCAGCCCCGCGTATACCCACGTTGTGCGGCGATGACTGGAGGGCCCTTAAGGGTGAAACCCGCCTCGGGGTGCGGGGTTAGGGCTTAGGAGGAGGTGTGGTCCGTGGGGTCCCTGGTCCTTCTTTCTTGTGTTAAAATTTAAACTCGGGTTTGGTTAAAACGTTAAAGATTTTATTCGAGCAAATAACGATTCATGAATCAGGAAGCCATAACCTTGGATTGTGGTTTGGGGTCCACCGGAGGGGCTTGAAGGAAAGGGTTTTATAAGGTGCATGAGGAAGCAAACCCAATTCAGTAATTGATTGGCTACAGTTATGTAGTCCCATTATTTGAACTGTCCAGGCGGAAATTTCCTGGTTATGTAATCAAAGGTTAATTGCTGGTTTGTGGTTGGTTAAAACTGTTTTGTTTTCCTTTAAGTTATTTACAAGAAATGCATGAGTTACGTTTCGGTTTTCTTAGGTAGAAACCCAGGGCACTACAGTCATTTCAGTGTAAGTGCCTCCCATTTAATTATTTTAACACTCCACGGGGGGACTGATTTTCCCTGCATTTTTCAAATGTATGGCAAGCAGGGTCTCAAATCCACCACCCTTTTCTCCCAACCTAATTCTTCTACGGCTTGCAGTAAAATTGTAAATTTTCACTTCCTTTCCTGATTCTCAACTGCTGGCTTCCCCTGTAATTCACAACATTGTCAACTATTTGCTCTTTATTGTAGATTTCAAGCAGATGCAGTCTGACCATTAGGGCCAAGGCCAAATTGCAAAATAAAAAGTTTGCCTTTATTCTACTCCATCTACATCTAAACTTTGGAGGTCAAGGCTGTGGACAGATCAGATTAGTTCCCTCCTCCTGGGGCTCCACTGATCTCTGGGAAGGAGGATGGGCCGCAGGTGGGCAGCAATATTTCACCTGTAGTCACTTTCACCTAGGCCTTGAAGGCTGAGTCAGTGTTTGTCTGACAGAATGGGATGTCAGGGGCAGAACGGAAAAGCACAGAGGTGAGAGGGCAGGTGTCAGGTATTCCCAGGCTTCTGTGATTTGGGGAATGTAGACCTCAGTGGAGGAGCGGCAGGAGCTGGGATTGCCTTTAGGCTGGTGCCTGAGAGCACTGGCTTAATCAGCTTGATTTTGACGGGGCCCGGTAGCTCATGCCTGTAATCCCAGCACTTTGGGAGGCCGAGGCAGGTGGATCATCTGAGGTCAAGAGTTCGAGACCAGCCTGGCCAACACGATGAAACTCTGTCTCTATTAAAGATACAAAAACTAGCCAAGCATGGTGGCTGCATGTGTCTATCCCAGCTACTTGGGAGGCTGAGACAGGAGAATTGCTTGAACCCAGGAGGTGGAGTTTGCAGTGAGTCTAGATCATGCCACTACACTCCAGCCTGGGGAACAGAGCAAGACTCCGTCTCAAAAAAA